ATGTCAGACTGAACTCCCTAACACAGAAGTCAGGCTACAGTCATCTCTCACCGAGACCAATTCCACATAGCCTCCTGAGGTCACCCTAAATCTCCTGCACCCACAGTCATCTCTCCACACATGACCTATACTATTTAAATCATAACATGTCACTCCCATTTTGCCAGTCACAGCAAGATTAAAAACCTACCAGGGCCTACAGGACTCTAGGTGATGATCTGGTTCCTGGCTACCTCGAAAGCCTCATTTCCACCTTGTCCCCTCACTCATGCATTTTCATAGCACTGGCCTCCTTGCTAAATTTTTCTTTTTCAATTTACAAAACATGCTGCCATCCTGGGCTCTTGCATTGCCGTAATGCATTTCTCTAAGATACTTGATTGGCTAGCTCTCTGATTTCATGAAATTATCTGATTAATGTCACCTTTTAGAGAAGACTTTTCTGATCATTTTCATCATACCCTATCCCCTCATTCTGCATAGAGTTTTTCCTTCCTAGCATTTATCACTAACTGATGTAATACATATGTGTTTATTTTTTTATTTTTTTTTAAGATTTTATTTATTTATTTGAGAGAAAGAGAGCAGGAACACAAGCAGGGGGGAGTGGGAGACAGAGAAGCAGGATTCCTGCTGAACAGGGAACCCGATGCGGGGCTCGATCCCAGGACCCCAGGACCCTAGCCGAAGGCAGATGCTTAATGACTAAGCCACCAGGCACCCCAATACCTATGTATTTATTATCTCTCTCTCTTACACTAGAATATAAGCTCCCATGAGGGCAAAGATATTGTGTGTCCACCACTAAAGTCCCAATACCAAGAACATTGCCTGAAACATATACAGGAGTTCAAAAGTATATGTTGAATTCATTAATTAATGGATGCAAAATATTAAGTCAGTAAAATTATAAATTAAAATTCTAAGTCATGTTTTAATTCATAAGCTTTGATGTTGTTTATTCATGATCCATTTCCCCTTCCTTCTAAAATACTTTCTCTTTTGAAATGCTATCCCTTACCAATTGAATGTAAACTCAGTAAAACTATCAATAAAAGTGTACTGTCCCTCAGCATTTATCCAAGGGGTGGGTACAAAAACAAACTACAACAATCTGACTCCTTATCCCTGAAACTAAAGTGTGAGCCTAAAAACTCCCAATCAAAAATATTTATAGCCAATGGAGTCCAGTGTTGTATATTTTTAAAAAGATTTTATTTATTTGTGAGAGAGAGAAAGCACAAGTGCACGCAAGCTGGGGGAGGGGCAGAGGGAAAGGAACAAGCAAGACTCCCCACTGAGCAGGGAGCCCAATGCAGGGCTCGATCCCAGGACTCGGGGATCATGACCTGAACCGAAGGTAGACACTTAACTGAGCCACCCAGGTGCCCCGAGTCCAGTGTTGTATCTTGAGGGGACATCCAGAGGTGCTCTAGTTCATATCATCTCCAGTATCTAGTAGTTCTTGTATTTGGGCAGCTATCCAATATTCTTCCATAGGTTTCCTTTCTACCCCCTACCCTGTTTGTTTGTTTGTTTGTTTGTTTGTTTTAATTAACCAGAATCAGTTCCTGTTGGTTACAATCCAAAATAAAAAATTTAACAGAAAGTTTCCCAACTCTTTTTTCTATCTCTCATCTTTCCCTCTCAGTTTGTTCTCCACACATACTTCCCAATTACACAGCATCCTTTAGTTATCAAACCCCACCTCTCTGAAGACATCTCCCAGAAATGCCATTTCTAATGTTTAATGTTTCAAAATCATTTATCACTCCTCCCACCTAGCACTGTTTACTCAAAGTTGCTGAATTAAAATAGAAGTTAAGTAATCAATACGACTAAGCCAAATCTCACCAAGTTATCAATAAGCAATAGCTTCTTTTTTTGAGAGAGAGAGAGAGTGTGAGCATGAGTGTGTGGGGGGGGGCTATTGAAGAGGGGCAGAGAGAGAGAGGGGGAGAGAGAGAATCCTCAAGCAGGCTCCACACTCAGAGCACAGAGCCCAGTGCGAGGCTTGATCCCACGCCCCCAAGATCATGACCCCAGCCAAAATCAACAGTCAGATGCTCAACCAACAGAGCCACCCAGGTACCTCTAAGCAACAGCTTTTTAATCTTGCCATGCATATTTGCATTTCTTTAAAAAGAGGCTACTGTTACTCAAAATTTATTTGTTAAAATTTCAGTCAGGATAACAAAGTGAAGAATTTTAGAAAGCATAAGGTAGTTACTTTTAGGGAAAATGTGTTAAATCACAACACTAAGGCAGCGCATCAATCTGATCACAGTTCAATTAGAGATAAAGAGGGCTACAGGGGTGACAACTTATTCATCAATAAACAGATTTTAGTTGAACTACTTTGTCTGAGTACATAAAGCATACAGCCCCACTGCAAATGTGATTGAGTCACAGAGACTTACGATGTTACTAAATATGGCTAACATACCCTAAGGGCACTCCACCCATCCCCTCTACCAGAGTTTTTGGGGATGGGGGCAAAACCAACATTCATTTCTAACCCGTATAATATGACAAAGGTGATAGGATATACACGTCCTTGATTAGGTTATATAAAACTTCATCTTAGCAGAATAGGAGAGACAGAATCTCCCTTGCTGGCTTTGAATATTTAAGCTTCCATGTTGTGGGAAGGTCTGAGAGATGGTGATTCTGCAACGATCTGCAGGCCTTTAGGAGCTGAAATGGGCCCTACCTGAGAGTCAGGAAGAAAGAAGGGACCTCAGCCCTACAACTACAAGGAGCTAAATTCTGCCAACATTTACGAGCTTGGAAGAGGACCTCATGCCCCAGAAAGGAATGTAGCTCCACGAACACCTTGATTGAAACCTTGTGAGACCTGAGCAGAGGACCCAACTATCCCTTGCCCAGAGAGATGATAAATGGATGTTGTTTTAAGCCACCACGTTTATGATAATTTGTTACACAGTAATGGAAAACGAATACAATAGTGTACCAAGGAGACAAGAAGATAAAAGCCATGTCTGTAGAAGAACAAATATAGATTGTGGACTTAGCACATTCACTGCTCTTTTACTGACTAGCTTATCATATCCACTTCAGAGCATTGATATGAGGATGAATCAGAATTTTATGTATAGAAATTAAAGCCTTGTGTGAATATTAAACATAAAAATGAGTTCCCTTCTCATATACTCTGCCCTTGTAACTCAGTGAGTGACACAGCCCCACCCATGGGCAGCTGTCAAGACCTGCTACCTTCATTTTGAAGTCATACTTGTCCAATTCTGAGCCACTGAAAGTGGGAGCTTGGCGAACTTCAGGATCTCTTCCACCTACCCACCCATTCTCTCACACGTGAGTGAGGGAGTGGGTTCTGGAAATTGCCGCTCTCCCAACATCTATCGTCTAGGGTATTTGGAGATTGGTTGTTAGATGGACTCCATGGAGGTCCACATAAGGATGCAGCAGTAGATTCTTTGTCTATTCTACCCTGTGTTTGGAGAGCCTTCTACCATGGCTCCTGCTTCAGTCTATTGCTAACACGGTATTGGGTTTTTATCCATTTGTAGTTTCCATCCTAACTTCAACCTACATTTACTTCTTAGTATTTTAACACCTTGCCAGAGAACCATAGCTACTTGAGCTCCTCCTGCATCTTAGATTAAGAACCTTTGTTATCTGGGAAGTGCCACTTTGTTATTTTTCAGAAAGACAAAGATTAGCCCCATTGAAAACCCTGCAGCCCAGCACAATCTGAAACCAACAGTGAGTAATTCACAGGTTTCCAGACCTTAAAAAATTTAATCCAACGCAATTTTTGTCAACATTATGGTTTAATGGAATGAAAGTGGCTATAGCTCCAATAACTTTCGGTGCTTTAGTGATTTTCTATCAAAGTATATTTTTAACATAATCACTGAACACATTCTCGTTGAATTTTCTATTTCTGCAGCTTACCAGTTTAATTATACCCCTATATGGCAGGTGGTTATAATTTCCTTCTCTACAATTCCCTCACACCTACTTTCTTATAAAGGGACTAGTATTTGCTGTGTTTATTTCATTGATGTTGTTGTAAGTAAAAGTATCAGAAATCTGACTATTCCCAAATCTCCTGGAAGCTCTCACCATATTTTGCCAAATTTGCAATGATAATTTTTTTTTCAAGTAGGCTCCATGCTGGGCATGAACTCAGGACCATGAGATCAAAACCTGAGCTGAAATCAAGAGTCAGCCGCTTAACCATCTGAGCCACCCAGGTGCCTCTGCAATGACAATTTTGAAGAAGAGTGTTATAGAATAGACTTCTCCAAACATAAATGCCAGATTTTTATTTTCTCATTCCATGCTACTGGTCTTTATTTTGGGCACAATTCTAGTCTTGACACTTTCTCTTCATTTTGTGTGTGTTTGTGTGTGTGTGTGTTGTCAATCCTTATTCTATTATCATAGTTTCCCAAGGTCTCATTTCAACTTTAATTTTACTCACAAATCCAATATCATCTCTGGAAACCAGCCTCCACCTAAATTTAATCCCTCCTTTCTCCTTCTTCTCCTTTTCCTTCAGGCAGTTGTGTCCCAATCATAGTACAATGTCTTCCAAGAAGTTAAAAAGAATATGAGGTAAGTTCATTTTAAAGCCTCTGTGATGGGGAAAACAGTTTAAATGCTGTGAAGCGCTGACAAGTAACCATAAGCTGATGAAATCTTAAACATAATTTTGATTTAACACAATCAGAAAATAACATCTATTTTGCTTGCAACTTAAAATTAAAATGTGCCACAGTTGGATATATTATCAATATATCCATGATATGTATGCCATGAAGATGGAATTGATGAAGACTGCATTCATCTAGAAACAGTCTTCAGTATTTCTACCTCTCCCGAATCAATCACTAATGGTAGAATACAATTAAAGCACACTTACCTGAAAGCAACTAACTTAAAAAAAAAAAAAGTGGAGATATTCAAAAGTATTATTCAACTACAAGAAGTAATATATTAAAAATACTTACAATTTCTTTAAAATATCCAGGAATTCTACCAACTTCTCTTCTAATTTTTTGGGCTCATATAAAGTAAGGCCACCACGTGCTTTTTTCACATGGATAGCTATATTGTGAGAATCGTCAGGTTGTTGGGGTTCATATTCTACTGTGTCTTCAATAGATTTTCTGAACAAAGGAACATAACAGATTATGGTGTTGCATATTGTACAAAAATGACTGACATGAACTCTTCACTGTCAAGAGTAGAAAGACACTGTTGTAAGATAATTTGGCATTTTAATAGTGTATGCCTTTTCAATGACTTAGTTTTTTTTTTTCCAATCATTAGTAGTACAGTTAAATACATCATCCTGTTAAGCCTAAACACTGACATATATAAAATATTTTCTACATACAGGACTTGATTACACATATTATAACTGTCTTAAGTGATTGAAACATCTTTTGTAACTAGGTGTACATAATTTAAGGAAATATTTGAAGTCAATGGTTAATATCCTTCTCTCTATAGCCATACACTTGTTTTTTGTTGTAAACTTCATACCAACGATAAAAGTGCTTTTTAAAAATTTTTTTTTCCAACTGGTAAATTATGAACATCTTGAAAGCAGCCATTGTTCTTTATTGTTGTGCTACAGTATGTTATACACCCAAGTCCCCAGGAGATGTATGACTGAATGACCATTCTCCATTCATTTTTCTAGCCCCACGCATTCCTATTAAGAAGTCACTAAAAATCTCAGCTTTGGGCAGTGGCAGTATCGTAGCCAATGAGGTTTATCCAAGGCGCGATTATTGCTAAAAGAAATCACTAAAAATCTAAGAGCAAAAACTAACAATTTCTGTATATCCTTAAGAAAAAAAAACAATGTGGAGGAGATGATAAAAGCCCAAATGACCATAGATTACTGACTTGTAATTATATACATGAGAATATAAAAATCATACTTAAATATAAGGTAAACATGCGGAGTAATAATAATAGTAAATAATCACATTAACATCTAACATATACTTGAGCTTTTGTGCTAGTTGTTTTGCTAAACATTATATACACATATCTCATTAACTATGTGAAATAAGCAATATTATCCTCCATTGATAAGGAAATTTCAGGTTAAAGAGTTTATATAATTTGTCTTACCACTCATAGCTAGTAGCGCTAGAATTTCTGTAATCTCTCTGAAGTTTGCAGATGTTAAAGCTGAGTAGTAAAGCTTACTTATTTGATGTATACAGGAAGGAGATAGCCTAGCATAACTTACAAAGATAAAATTAAAAGCCAAAATCCATTTCCCCTTCCGTCACTTTCATGGAACCATTCCTTCCAAACCTAGAACCCCACTTAAAACTCTATCTCTAGTTACTCCCGTAAATAGTAGGCACAGTAAAACTCAGCAATGATAAGAATTCAGGTATAAAGCAATTGGCTTTCCTCCACCAAACCTGGATGCTAAAATGCAAATGGAATGAAGTTTTTATAATCTGGAGAAGAGAGGGCCATGGACTGGAGGGAAAGTGGGAGGTAGATATGGCAGACTTTGTGGCAAGAATGTGGAAAGTGAGTCTTCATTGGACCTAATATTCTTCTGGTCCAAGTTCATCATATTTGCCCAAGGCAGGTGACTCCTGGATTTCCTACTTTGTGTTGGAAATCTCAAGACAGCCAAAGGATTCAGAATAGTCCTGAGTGACATTTAAGCTTCTTGAAATTAACCAGGAGATACTAAGCCACCAAAAGCAACAGGAAAAAGTAGGTGGCCATACATATTAATTGATTAATTGATTAAATTGTGCCCTATGCTCCTCAGAAAATGGTAGAAAATTATCCTCATCATTATATAGTAATACTAGCAATAATGCAATACATATAGTCTAAAAACTTCAGTCATACAAAATTCAAGAATCATTTTATGAGAAGTTAGTAAGTTGTACAAGCAGACAAGGCAAGCGGGAGTATAGAAGGTCATGGATATGATTCAGATCTTTTCTGGAGAGCTATGTTGGGGATCTCAGACTTCTCCATCTCTCTATATTTCACAATAAACTGTACCTTTAAATTTTTTAAATTAAGTTTGATATGGGGTAAAATCTCTGATTCTTGTGAGTCTAACTTGAAAACTGAATCCTTAGTGTTATTCTCAGGCTTCTAAAGATATTTTTCATAAAGTCCTAGTCACTCTATGCTAAGATTGTGCCAAGATGGGGTGCCTGGGTGGCTCAGTCATTAAGTGTCTGCCTTCGACTCAGGTCATGATCCCAGGGTCCTGGGATCAAGACCCGCATCAGGCTCCCTGCTCAGCGGGGAGCCTGCTTCTCCCTCTCCCACTTCCCCTGCTTGTGTTCCTTCTCTCACTGTGTCTCCCTCTGTCAAATAAATAAATAAAATCTTTAAAAAAAAAAAAAGAATATAACTAATAAGTAAGCATCTTTCCACAAAGAAACTCCTGGCCAAAATGGCCTTAATGATGAATTCAAATTCTTAATAAATAAAAGCAAACACTTTCAGAAAATACAAAAGACAGTTATACTTTCCAGCTAGTTTTAGGAAGCCAACATAGCCTTAATATCAACATCTGTCAAGGATATCACAAGAACAGAAAATTACAAGCCAATATCACTGAATATAGATGCAAAAATTCTAAGCAAAATATTAATAAACTGAATCCAGTAATTTTAAAAGATAGTAAAGCATAGCCTAGTTGGGACTATACCAGGAATACTATTTCAGGTATGTTATTCAACACATTAATGGAATAAGAAAAATCATGATCATCTAAACATTTCATATGATACAATATTTATGTGTAATACAAAATCCTACAAAACTAGAAATAATGAACTTTCTTAATATGACAAAGTATTTTAAAAATACAACAAATATTGGGGCCCCTGGGTGGCTCAGTCATTAAGCGTCTGCCTTCGACTCAGGTCATGATCCCAGGGTCCTGGGATCAAGCCCCACATCAGGCTCCCTGCTCGGCGGGGAGTCTGCTTCTCCCTCCCCCACTCCCCCCCTGCTTGTGTTCCTGCTTTCACTATCTCTGTCTCTGTCAAATAAATAAATAAAATCTTAAAACAATACAACAAATATTAAACTGCAATTTAAAAAGCTTTGCCTCTGGAATTGGAAATAAGTCATGTATACTGCTCTAACCTATTCAACACTGTAATGGAGGTCTTAGGCATTAAAATACAAGCAAAAAGCGTAAGAATCAGGAAGTATCAGTAAAGCTGTTATTTTTTTGGATGACATTATAATTATTAATGACATTATGACATTATTACTATTCTAGTGTCTACAGATACTAGATTTCATAAGAGAATTTAGCGAGGTTGCTGGGTAAAAGTTCAACAGACAAACATCAATTGTATTTCTGCCTTTATGTTTCTTACTACCTTTTTTTTTCTTAATGTCACTCCATTTTATTGCAATAAACTCAAAGTATACATATTTCAGCAGGGAATACATGATACCATCAGTCATCAGTGAGTAAGGCTTCAAAAGTCTCCCCCATTTCCTCATAGGACATATATTTGGGTTATAATGATGGTTACACACCTACTTAAGATAAGGTCTTATCAAGTTATGGAAAGCCCTAACATGACCAGGACTTCACTCATGCAACTTCTGATGCAACAGATAATATTGGCCATCACTGGACAGGGCCAGCCAGGTATCTCCTGGGTAACAAGGTTTCAGGACAATCTGGCTTAGCCAATATGTTCCCTACTATCCAATGCAGGAAGGCACTAATGGTATAATCACTCTCTAAATGTGTTATTGAAAGTTATTAAAAGTGATACAAAGAATTTATACCTGTTGTGAAAAACAATCATAGGGTGCTTGTAGGAGTGTAAAACCAGGGGACTTATTTTGCTTATAGGAAAAGACAATGGGGTGCCTGGGTGGCTCAGTTGCTTAAGCAACCGCCTTCGGCTCAGGTCATGATCCCGGGGTCCTGGGATCAAGTCCCACATGGGGCTTCCCTTGCTCTGCAAGGAGCCCTCTCCCTCTGCCTGCCACTCTCCCTGCTTGTGCTTGCTCTCTGTCAAATAAATAAATAAAATCTTAAAAAAAGGAAAAGACAATGTCTCTCACAGAGAGATTTAAACATTCAAGATGAATGAAGAGTTTAAAAAAGAATATTCCAGAAGAAGGTACAAGGAATTTTCCTGCAGAAGAAATTTCTTAAGATGCTAAATTCTGCTCAAAAATATTTTGACCCTGTCAAATAGACATAGCCACTGTACAACAGATTAATGTCCTCTGTTAATCTTTCCATACTTTTTTGGTATCCTTACATCTAATTATTTCTGAATTAATTTTTGCTCAAGGTAAATGATAGGGATGCATGAAATTACCTATCTATAGAATTGGATAATTACCATAACGAGCTAGTAATTAGGCAATTCTATTCATTTCTCTGCTATTAACTGTTTAAAGTTTTGGCATTTTTTCTACTGATAATTAAATTAAAAACATACATAATATATTGTAAGTTTAAGAGTAACAATAAAATAGTGTTAATATACTCACTCAGATCTTTAGAGTACCTGTGGTACTGTACAATTACTCCTCCATGGACAGATGTAGCACTCACTCCAGAGATAACCACTACGCTGAATTTTGTTCCTTGGTTTTCATTATACATTTTAGTCAAAAATGTATGCATCTCTTTAAAAACCTAATTTTAATTTTGCATATTTAGTTTTGCACTTGATAGAAATGAAGTGATTCTTAAGTATTCTGTAACTCGCTTTTTGGTTGTTATTGTTCAACATTGTGTTTATGAGACTTAATGACTATCGTTCATTCATTTTACTGCTGTGTAAGATTTCATTATATTTATATACCACAAAGGGGACTTTCTATTCCCATTTTCTTAGTCTGTGGGCAACTGGAATTTTTGTTTCCAGGTTTGTTTTGCCTTTTGTTTGTTTGCTTGCTGTATACAAACTTGCTTACTATGACTAATCTTGTATATGCACAGCTTCTCCAGGGAATACACCCAGAATTAGAATTTTTAAGTCATAATGTATGTGCATCCTCAATTATATTAATAATTAGCCAAATTATTTTCTAAAGTGGCTAAAATAGTAGCCAAGGTGTAAGTTTCAGTTGCTCTACATTCTCACTGCCACCATGATATTATTAAATTTTT